CTCTCTCTCTCTCTCTCTCTCTCTCTCTCTCTCTCTCTCTCTCTCTCTCTCTCTCTCTATCTGCCAAATTAATATTGTGCTTACATTCCATATTGTAACATGGCAAGGAAGTTTGTAGCAGTATAAACTTCCTCCCTTCTCTACATTTTCTCATATATGTGAGTATGTATTTCTGCTTATGGGAATATTACAGCGGAAATTACGAATAAGTCAGATTCCTTTACCATTACATATCTTTCATGTATTTCTCAATTAATATTAACAAATATTACACCACATATTTCTTATAATTTAATTATGAATGATATGAATCATTAGTTACAATAAGATGTACTTAAAGTATTGTAAGTAATAAGAATTTGAATAGATAAATAAAGAATTTTTATATGATTTTTAATTATTTTAATTATTTTAATTATTTACTTAGTTTAAGTTAAGTTACTAATTTAAGTTAAGTTTCTCTATAGTATTCAATTTTGCAAGTTTTTAATTTTATCGTTTGTATCAAATGAAAAGAAAAATTATCGTTGAATTTTTCTTAATTATTTTTTATTTTCTATTATAATATGATTATTAAATTTATTAATAATATAATAATATTAATTTATTAATAACAATTAAATATTGATAAAATATAATTATGATATAAAATTTGTGTTTTTTTCTAATTTTCTTAATTTTTTAGAATATTTTATATTTTATAAAAATAATTTAGCAATATTTTAATAATACTTTATATATATATAATACTATAAATATATATAATACTAATACATGAAATAAAATATTTTTTCAAACATACAATAATTTCATTATATATTATAGGATTATAAAAAAAAGATTTTTCAAATAGATAATTATAAAGAAATATCTTCATTTCTAAAAATATTTTTCTGATACAAGATATTGCAAAGAAATGAAAAATAATAAATTCGTAACATACATGTATATTTTATTAATTTGAATATTACTATTCTAAAATGAATGTTTTATTCAAATTGTATTCAAATTATATTCAAATGTAAAAAAATAATATTTCAAATTAAAAAAATATGTTTAACTTCAACATTATTATAATGCAATATGTATTGAGGTCATATGTAGCATAATGCAAAAAAGTAATCCATGGCTGTAGAATAAAAAATAGAACGTATCTATTGCGTTTCAATTAAATGAAGATAATAATATTTTATTTACATTAAATCCAAGTGCAAGTATTAAATAACATCATTTGGATATAATCTTTTCGCGTCATACATTAATTGCTTTCGATAACCCAATGCATAAACAATTTTCAATTCATATATTCAATTTTCTTTAAAATAAATGCATCATATCTTATTTACTTTCATTGAATACTTCTACTAATGTATGTATTACATTTCTACTTGAAAATCACCTATTATGCAATAATAAAATATTTGTAGAGTCTTGTATTATAAAAACATATTGTTTTTTGATTATTTTTTCTTAAACGATAACGAAAATATATTGTATTGAATGAAATACTATCTTCAATTTATTTTAATATTTCTATATTATTCTATATCATTATTCAAATATCTCTCTATATGGCTCTTTGTACGTATTCAAAAATTTACGAAATAATCATTTTTATTCATTCCTCTATAGAAAATCTAGACCACGAATAACATATATAATTATATTAAACAAAAATCCACTATAATATGTTTCCCACGAAATATTAAAACATATCGAAATAACAAAATAGATTCACACATTACATCGATTCATTTGACATTTACTCACCAGTTCGTCCATCATAACCGCGATCATCGTCGTCGTCTTCGTGCTCTCCACTCTCCTCGCCGGCCGTGCCTTGAGTCTGCACAACCCTCGGTATTTCTACAAGAAGAAAGAAAATAAATGTGAAATCGTAGGACGAAGATATACGCTAAGTGCAGCTCGTATCTCTTCTAAAAGAGTACACGCTTTCCTCTTTCGTATTCACAAATTTTGCCTAATTGGACTCGTGATCGAGCGATAACACGGACGAACAGTTCGTGTGTTCCCTCCAATTGATCGATCGATCGCTTCTAAAAACAGGATGGCCACGAAAATTTTCTGCTCTTTTTTTTCTTTCTTTTCTTTTTTGTTTCTCCTGACTGCTCTTTCGCTGTTTGAACTATTAATGAAACGTTCGAAAGAATTCTCTTCGTATATTTAGATACCGTGTGTACGTAACAATGAAATTTCTCAATTGGCTAGATATTACCATTTTTCAGTGATGACTTTGCAATAATTGGATTTTTAAAATTCATTGGAAAACTTTCCTTTCGCGAAATTGGAAGAATATACAAAATGTTCTGCGCAAAATGTTATAAAATTATCTCTGATATTATTGAAGATGTTAAATTTTTATTAATGATCTCTAGAAATATATATTAAATATTTGGAGAATTTTCTAGAAAGTGAAAAATGTTATATTTAATTTTTTTTTAATTATTAAACTTGAAATATCAAAATAAATATTAGATATCAAAATAAATATACATATATTACATTCAAATTTATTTAATATTTATTTAAACTAATACATGATAATAAAAAGATAATAAGATAGAAAAGCAACACGTTTTTATTTTTTTTTTCGTATTTTAAATCTTATAAACATTTTTTATTCTTGTTATTTTTTTCTGAAAAATCATTCTCAAAATTTTGTTCAAATCATAAATCTTTGAATCGAAATTTAAATCTAACAAGACAATATCTATATACTTATATAGCTGAAAATATTTGTAATATATGAAAAGAATATTAAAATTGTATAATAATTAAAAATATTTATGATTTAAAAGTGAGTTTTTTTTAAAACATTTTTGTATTACATTTTCTATGAAACATTTCCTATTTTACATTTTCTATGAAACATTTCCTATTTTACATTTTCTATTTTACATCCTTTCCATTTATTTTCTTTTTCTTAACGAAATTTTAAAAAGAATTTTATTTTACATTTTTAAATAAATTATATTGCATCTCTTGCTTATATTATATTTTACTATATTTTTAATTTACGACAGATTAATTATATAAATTTTTTAAACACATAATAAAACACATTATATAATTTTTTAATTTTGTAATATTTAAATACTACATTGAAAAAATTAAGACTTAAAACGTGTATTGTATTGTTTTATTATTGATACATGAATTATATTATTAGTATCTTATAATATTATTTACATATTTTTCTTTATGGATTTTTTAAAAATATTTTTACAGATATTTCATTGATAATACGGTGATGAATACATTCTAGTCACCCGATGTATCGATGAATATTTCAGGGATATACAAGGATCGCTATGCTCATAATAAATCAGGGTAAACTTTATATAGAATGGCGTAATGCGATATGCTGGAAATAATTAAGTCTGCTAATCACGAAGTCAACTTATTGTTAAATCATTAACGATGCGTTGCAAAAGTGGTTGATAATCGTTTACTTTGTAATATCTGACGTATGATCATTCAAACGTCAATTAAATTTTCGATAATTTCAATATTTATTTATTGCATATAAAATAGTTTTGAAAAAAAAATTATAATTCTGAATAATAATTTAAGAAATGATATTAATTATAATTAATATCTTTTCAACATTATATAAATTATTATTAGTTTATTATGAATATTATGTAAAATTCAAAAATAAAAGTTTTAAATATAATTTGCCTCTATTTTCTCAGATATTATAGATATTATAACTAATTATCGTGAATTTTTAGAGATCACATTTTGTTATATTAATATATATTAAATTAATATATTAAATAATATTAAATTAATTAGGAATCATTTCATATCGAGAGACTATATTAATAAAATAACGTATTATCTTTTTCATGTGTATTACAAATTATTACTATTGAAAAATGTATACATTCTTTTATTATGCATATAAAGAAATAAAATAGAGAGAGCTAAAAAAAGCATAGAACGTTCACGCTACTCGCGATTTTTAAAGTTCCATTGTACATTCATTTTTACGTACTATCTTTTTTTTATTAACTTTTATGGGAAACTGAAAATAGAATATTGATGAATGCATTGTAAAAATCTTCTTTCAAAAATCTTTCTGCTTTTGCGTTTTATACGTCTATTATTTTTATTTCTTATATTTCATTTTTCATTCTATTTCATCCTATGTGTATATATATGTGTATATATATGTATATATATGTGTGTACATATTTCATCCTACATGTATATTAGAATTAATATGCACTTGTCGCTTAAAATCATTTCATTACAAATTTAACAAATAATGTTGAATTATTTATTTATTTAATATTTAACGGCATATAAAATATTTGTAAATAATATATTTTAAAAGAAATGAAAAAATAATTTTGCAATCTTCTATAATCAACGTAATAGTATATAACAATTTTTATTTCATAATTGACTAAAGTCGTTGATGATTCTACAATAACGAATAGAAAAGAAATAAAATTTTTTTATTATAAAAATTTCATTTTCGAATAACCAAATTTGAAAATTTGTCAAATACAAATATAATTAACTAATTTTCAATATAAATGAATCATTGATAAAAGATTATTTTATATATGAAAATAAATAAAAAGTATAGAATATAAGTTTTAACGCTTAAATTCTTGAACACATATATTTAAGAAATCTTAAATTAAATTTTTTCGAAAACTAATTTTTAAAATTAGTTTTGAAAAATTATTTGGAAATGGAAAAAATTTTTTGTTTATTTTCATACATAGAATAACTATCAATAGTTCATTACGTATTCAATTAGGAATTATCAATTTCATTTATACTTGAATAAAAGAAATTCTATTTTACTTTTTCGACTCATTATTATATGTAAAATCATCTATCAATCAGATATTCATTCATGAAACACTTAGTATTTGTATTTTTTAAGAAACTTTTAATTCTTTAAACAATATATTTTTTTATATCATATAAAAGATAAATTCATTCAGAATTAATATAATAATCTTCAAATAATTCTTAAAAACGGAAGAATCTAAATGTTTCTCCAAATATTTCTTTTTTATAAATTTTACCACCAATGTTATTTATGTTTTCTTTTTCAAAGTAAATATTTCAATTTTTCTGCATCTTTTATTTACATTTTCATATCTGCACTTTCTTCTATCAAATAACGATCCTTAACTCCAAAACTTCATTAATAATTTATAAAGCAATATAATTAAATAATACTAAAAATTTTGTTGCAATACATAGGAGAAATAGAAGTAAACATATTCGAATGGCATATTTTCTTTACAATAATAAAGAAAATGCGTGAAAGGCTATAAAAACTTAACTACTACATATACTTACTGATACAAGGTGCAATATGTGATCTACTCTGTTGGTAACCTCTAGCACATCTATTACAAGTAGTACCAGTTACACCGTCTTTACACGGGCATTGGCCGGTACTTTGGTTACAAGTTTTTCCGGAAGCGCCAATCGGATGACAGTCACACGCTGTAACACGCAACATGCAAAATAAGGGATGGTTAGTTATAATTATATTATTAGTTGTATTATGTAATTATGTGAAAACAGTAATTGGAATTTATTATTATTTTTAAATATCATATATTAAGTAATTTAAAACAGTGAATTTTTTATCTTACAGAAAAGATATAATTTATTTTTTTGTCCAAGTATAAGTAAGTTATGTATAAGTAAGTTAGAAATTGGATTCTACAGGTGCAATTCAATAGGAAATCATAATAACTTTTGTAAAAATTAATAATTTTAAAATAATGATATTCATTTATGAAATCTATGAATATTAATAATAAACAATTAATAATGTTCAATCATTTTGATATATATTTATTTTAAGGAGCCATTAATTAAAAATATAATTTTAAATTAGAATCACAATTATAAACAATCCTTTTAAAACTAGATACATGTAAAATAATGTTATTTGAAATATTATTTCATAATCATTGATTAATGTATGTATATTATAATAATATATGAAATATCATTTCATAATTTTTGAATTATTTAAAGAAATGTTACTTCATAAATATTCACAATTTTATAGAAAAAATCCAGAATCTGGTTTATTTACAGGTTTACTGATTTACAGGTATTTAAATGGAAAGAGTTAAATATCTCCATTATTTTTCATTTTGTAAAAAAATTTTATTAAAAAAAATTATTCAAGGAAGAGAAATAATATAAAGATAATATTTTATTTTAAGATCATTTTTTTAAATTATATATTTTTTATATATTGATTGATTTAATTTTAGATTATCTATGAAAAAATATTGTAATGAATGTCAAAAAATTATTGTTATAAATATCGAATTAAATCAACCAATACATAAAAAAATATATAATTTTATTTAGAAAAGTGAAGATAATTTGTCAAAATTTTCTTAACTATAGAAAAATATTATCGTCATATTACTAATAACTTTTATAAAACTATAAAACTAAAAATAAGAAAATATTTAGATCCCCACTTAAATATTCCTTATATACGGACATATCTTTGCTTATACAAAATAATTTCAATAATTTTTGATTGAAATTATTTTCTCAAATACAATTCAATAATTCATTATACAAAATTGTCATTATTTTAAACAAATCTGAAACAAACTATATATATCATCTTAGCTACTTTTTCAATTTGAAATGCGCAATTTTCTCGAATCCGATTTAAGCTCCTTAATTCATCCCTTATTTCCATTTGCTATATCATTTTACTCTTCCATTCATTATATCTCTTTCAATAACTGAACGGCGAGCTGATTCACGCGAAAGTTATAATTTCCAACTTGTTAGCTCGTTTATTCATTGATCACTGTTCTCCTTCCTTTTTATCGCATTCACCGCTTCCGGGATTAAAGTAGGAGAAGAAGAGAGGAGAAGAGAGGAAGGAGGAAGAGGGAAGAAAGGGGGGAGGGGGTTAAAAGCAAAATCAGGAGGGAGAGAAATGTTTGGTCGAAAAGTCAGCTTGACACGTTCCTTTTGCCCACTTACTTATGCAAGCTACAGTATTTTTCATGCGAGAGAGACACTGAAAAGCGGTTAATTACGATTGCACTTCGAGCCCGAGTGCATCCCCGCGAAAATCTATGAGGAGACCCTTGAAACATTTGCCGGTCGTTGCTCGTCTGCGTTTTCATTTTCCTTCTTCTCCTCGGCCCATTTCTTTTTTTATTCTACTTCCACTTAGCCACGGCATTACTATTTCACGGTGAAATCGGTTGTTGTAGTTTTATAGACTGCCTACAATCCATCGATTTGTTGTTCGCCTGTGAATGGATAATGATTGGTTTCGTACTTTTCTCTTTTCTTTTTTTTTTTTTTATTTTTAACGCGTTAGACCGACACTTTTACAATTTTCTTTCACTATTTCCATCAAATATTTGTTAGTGATACTATTTCTAAACGTTTGTTTTCATATTGATTCAGAAATTATTTATATGAGTGTAGAGCTTTCTGATTATTATTATTATTATTATTTTGATTATTATAGCATATTTATAGTTTACAAATCATGATTTATCAATATTATATATTGTAAAAATTCATTTAGATTGGGCTTTAAATTGAATGAAAATGGAATATAGGAATTAATGGAATATAGAATCAAAGATTTAACAATTTATTATTGTTTTTAGAAAAAATATTGTTGAATATTGTTGGTGTATGTTTGTGTGGATTTATGAATATTTTTATTTCAGATATTATTCAGATAATTATTCAGATAATTATTCAAATAATTTTTTTCAATTTAAATAAATATAATCTTTTTTTTATTCAGTAAAAATATTGAAAAAATTTTTTATATTTGTTTTTATATCTATTTAAATTATTATAAAATTCATGTATATATATAATTAATATATAATTTAATATATAATTAATATATTAATATATAATTAATAATATTAATATATAATTAATAAACTGTTTATGTATTTATGTATAATTTAAATATACAAAAATTTACAAAATGTTTACAACATGCGAAAAAATATAAATTATTCAAAGATAGTTTATGTTATGATATTTAAAGAATAAAACAAATCTGTATTTAAGATTTCTATTTCTTTAAGATTAATATTTTTTTATTCATAAAAATTTTATTTTGCATATATTTCCAATTTCAAATATTATTATATATCTTTTAATATTAATTATTTTTAACATGTAATGTCACGAGAAAGTTTGATATTTCGATTATTTTTAAAATCATCATTTTAATCTACATTAAAAGTGAAATTTAATATTGATTATAAAAATTTTTCATTAATATTATGGCTCTTAAAACAAAAGAATTTCAACTATATATTTCAAAACATGATTTTGAAATTTTTATTAAATAATTAATTAAACAATTCTTTAATTGTGTTTAATACAATTTAATAAAATGAAAAATAATAAGAACATTAAACAATTTAGTTTTAAACAATTTATTGAATTTTATAATAAAAGATCTATTGCTTTCATGATCAAGTATTATTTTATGGGATTTTTTTTTTTAAACATCTTATAATATCCTTATATATAAGGATCCTTATATATATATCCTTATATATATACTAATTCATAATTCATTAAAAATATATGTTTATACATTCTTAATAATTTACGATTTTAGTATTTTATTTTCAATATATTTTTGTTCTTTTATTACAAATATTTTAGAATATTTTGGAATTAATATAATTATTATATATATCTATTATTATAAATATCTAGATTAATAAATTAATAAATTTATTATATATTAGAACAAATAAGCTTATATTTCTTTGAATAAATAAAATTTGATATATTTAATAATCTTTCGATAATTATTAAAAATTACAATATTTCTATAATAATTCTAATGATTAAACCAAACCTGAATAAAATTTATTTCAAATAATAATTTAAAAATAATGTTAATTATTATTTATTAAGTAATGTATCTTAATTGGCGTTATATTTCTTATTTGACGATGATAACACATTCTTCTCTCACAATCTAAATTCTTGAAACTTGATTTTCCCACGCAAGTTAGCCGCAATTAACAATTTTATCATTTCCACAATATTTTCCAATCAATTTTAATTAACCGTGTAGAAAACCAATATAGAATAATTGGAAAAATAAAACTCGAAGGCGACAATGAACGACGATGGCCAATGGAGATAAGCACACAATCTCGAGAAGAGAAATACGAAGTGACCATTTGCACTTCCGCGAAACGGATTAATCTTGAAGAGACTGCCGAAGGGACGAACAACCGGTTCACGCTTCCCCAACATTCGTATCACAAGCACAGAAGAGAATTTTTACCGTGATTAAATGGAAAAATGTTCGAGAAATTACCAACGATATTCTTAATTTAATAAAAAAAAAACTAAATAATAAATTTTTGTTTATTTTTTTACTCTCATTTCTTAGAAAATGATCGTCATCTTATTGATGATATAGTCAAAAATATATAGAAAACTATAAAATGATAATATGAAATTTATATTTATCGATTGAAGGTAAATTAGAAATAGTTATCCATATTTTTTTTATTTTTATTTAAATTTATATTTGTAGAATAATTGGCATGGCGTAATAGCTTTAAATAATCATGTTTATCATTTTTTAATACACAGATCGATATAGATGATAATTTATTTATAAATAATTACTAGTATAATAAATTTTACAAAATTAGTAAACTAACAAGTTTATTAGAAAATAAAAGATTCGGAAACTCATCAAGTATTAAATTTTGTTTAAAAATAAACTTATATAATTCAAAAAACTTTTTATTATTGAAATTTTCAATTGATAAATCATTACTAATATAAATTCAATTGTAACTTAATAAATAAGTCTTAATTAATACATTTGTGTTAATTTTTTACATTTGACCAATTTTTATATTATCTAAAAGCAACCTTCAAAGATATATATAGTAT